ATATGCAACGATGGTATAGGTGATTTTTATACTCTTTCTTGGTCTATTTCGTTGATACTGGAGTTCGTGTAGGGAATACGGGCATCACGAACGTGTAGCCAGGAGCTGCGGTCTCACAGCGGCGTGAGAAGCACAGAGATGAGGCGGAGATCAGTAGAGCGGGTGTGAGAGGCCTGCACGATGGAAATCATAGGAGGTAGTGATGGACAGCAGGCATTTCACGTAATGTTTCAGGAGGTATAAGTGTACGGAGGAAGGAAGATTACGTGTGTCGACACACGGAGGGCACTGAGGCATGCGTGGTACAGGTCAGGTGGAGGTCAAGATCATGGAGGATAGATCTAACAGCAGGATATAAGCTGTAGCATGAGCGGCAGGACATGAAGATAAGAAGGCGTTGAGAATTGCTTTACATAGGCACAGCAGCAGTGAGGCGAGTTGGGCAGGCAACTGCGGGAGACAGGAGCAGGATCGAGGCCTGCCAGACAGGAGGAGAGGCAGGACAGGCAGGCAGGAGCAGGCAGGCAGGGGAATCTAAAGACGTACACGCAGTCTTAAGAAAGGACAGGTAGAGGGGGGGAGGCAGGTTCTAGGGTGAATGAGGATGAGAGGAGGGGCGGGAAAAGCATGGAGGTAGAGAGAGAGATTAAGAGAGAAAGGAGGGGAGAGAGAATGGAATAGGAAGAGAGAGAGGGAGGGACTCCTAAGCATCTAGCCTCAAGAAGGAGCAGAAAAAAGTCCTAAGCATCCAGTACTAAGATGGAGGAGCAAGAAGGTGTAAGAAGGAGCAGGAGGGAGTGCTAAGAAGGAGAAGGAGGGAGAGCTAAGAAGAAGGAGCAGCAGGAGTTAGTGCTGCTTACTGAGTCTTATTTAAAGGAACATTTGAGTATATGGGACATCTAAGACAGCGAAGAGAAGTGAAATTTGGATGAAATAAAAGAAAACACTAAGAACAGGTTAGTCACAGCCAGACACATAGATGGAAGCAGAGTGAGGAGGGAGGGAGGGAGGGAGATGGAAAGAGAGAGAATGGGAGAAGGGAAGTAGAGAGGGAGAAAAAGCAGAGAGGGAGGGATGCTGGAAGAGAGGGAACAAAGAGAAGGAAGAGGCGGTCAAGGTGATGGAGGGATGGAAAGGAAACACACACACACACACACAGCAACAACACAAACACAAACACACACACACAACACACACACACACACACACACAACACACACACACACACACACACGCACACACACACACACACACACACACACACACACACACACACACACACACACACACACACAGGCTGAGGAAGACAGTATCTGAGACAGTTCATCACGCGAGGTTCCCCAAGCATCAGTACTGGTACCAACACTCTTCTTGGCGTGTGTTAACAACCTGAGAACAACCCTCAACAACCTGCCACAGGAGTGTCTCAAACGCAACACTGATGATGGCAACAGATAAGGATCGAGAACGAATACTGATGGTGAGAAACACTTCAGGAGAACGTGTGTAAAACACATGAGTGATGAGGACGTGTATGAAACACGTGAGTGACGAGGACGTGTATGAAACACGTGAGTGACGAGGACGTGTATGAAACACGAGTGATGAGGACGTGTATGAAACACGTGTGACGAGGACGTGAATGAAACACGTGAGTGATGAGGACATGTATGAAACACCTAAGTGACGAGGACGTGTATGAAACACGTGAGTGACGAGGACGTGAATAAAACACGTGTGATGAGGACGTGTATGAAACACGAGTGACGAGGACGTGTATGAAACACGTGAGTGACGAGGACGTGAATAAAACACGTGAGTGACGAGGACGTGAATGAAACACGTGAGTGATGAGGACGTGTATGAAACACGTGTGACGAGGACGTGAATGAAACACGTGAGTGATGAGGACGTGTATGAAACACGTGAGTGACGAGGAGGTGCTTTAATAAGGCCTTCTTAAGCTTTTTCGTGTCATTACTAAGGTCTCCTTAAGCTTTATTGTGGCTTTAATAAAGCTCTTTAAGACTTTATTGTGTTTTTATTAAGTTTAAACTTTAGGACATCTTTAAGGTTTTATTGTTTTAATAAGGTCTCTTGCTTTATTAAGATTTCCTGGTGGCTATATTTTAACTTTATTACAGCCTGGTGAAGCTTTACACTTGATGAGATGACGTTGAGGGAGTAAAGCCGGTAATAGTGAGGCTGGCTCGGCTGTGAGGCTTGCCGGAAGTTGTGTGTGTGATCTTTCTGACTAGTAGATTAACTCTCTTTTTCTCTCTCTCCAACCTTCCCTACCTATCTCTCCCCTACCTTCCCTACTCTCTCTCTCTCTCTCCCCTACCTTCCCTACCTATCTCTCCCCTCCTTCCCTACCTTCTCTCCTCTTCCCTACCTTCCCTACCTCTCTCCCTACCTCCCTACTTCTCCCCTACCTTCCCTACCTCTCTCTCCTACTCTCTCCCTACCTTCTCTCTCTCTCCCTACCTTCCCTACCTCTCTCTCCCCTCCCCTACCTCCCCTCTCTTCTCCCCTACCTCTCCTCTCTCTCTCCTCTCTCCCTACCTCTTCTCTCTCTCTCCCCTACCTTCCCTACCTCTCTCTCTCTCTCCCCTACCTTCCTACCTCTCTCTCTCTCCTCTACCTCTCTCTCTCTCTCCTACTCTTCTCCTCATCTCTCTCTCTCTCTCTCTCTCTCTCTCTCTCTCCCTCCTCTACCTCTCTCCTACCTTCCCTAATTCCTCTCTCTCTCTCTCCTACCTTCCAACCTCTCTCTCTCTCTCCTACCTCCCTACCTCTCTCTCTACCTTCCCTACATCTCTCTCTCTCTCCTACCTTCTCTACCTCTCTCTTTCTCCTACCTTCCCTACCCCTCTCTCTTCTACCTTCCCTACCTCTCCTTCCTACATCACCAGGTAATTTAAGAACAGCGATGAACAACGTGAGAAACGAAGAATGAACAAAACAGGTGAGAGAGAGAGACTCGGTACTTTATGACCAAACATCTGCCTACTGCAGCTGCGAGAGTAAAGTGAGCCTCAAGCGTGGATGAGACAAGGGTGTAAGTAGCGTGGAGTGTGAGTGCTGGTCACCTGGAGTAAGCACGTGCGAGTTTTAACGATTCTGGAACACCTTTCCCATCTCCCGCTTGTCAGATGTACGATCATCTCCAACTCACTCGCATTTTTATTATTTGTCGTAAGTTCTAACACATTACTTTCTTGTCTCGGACATATTACCTTTCTTATTGACATTAATTTTCAAAATAAATATAAAATAGTCATTCGTCCCTTCTGGTAAAAATTAAGTGAAAGTGAATTAAAAAGGTTTGTATGGGCAGCATCTTCAGCAGCATCCGAATCACCTGCTTGCAAGCTGATTGGCTAGTTGCTAGTGTGGCTCCGCCCAACGCCGTCTGTCACTGGCTATGAGCCCGAGTGAGGCTGGAATGCTTGTCCGCCATTGGTTGATATTGTGCTGCTACCTGCCAGCTTGTCTCAAAGGTTATAAAAGCTCTCCTCTTACCCGCCAAAATCAGTAGCTATCGTGGTAGCAAGAGGTGAGGTGTCGGTGGAAGGTTTCCTCCACATGGATAACACGATGGCATTTTTGGAAAACTTGAGAAATTATTCTCATTGTCCGCCAAAGAAGAGACCTTTGGCGTTCTACGTAGCTCACGACGAAGATGGTAAGTAACATCAGCAGCTGTTAAATTAACAATTTAACACTAGATAAACGACTTTGATCCAGTGGATTATTATGAATTAAGACGCAAATTTGTTCGTATCTAAAACTTTTGACGTTTTTAAAGATCAATTCGCCAAACGTTGAAATTTTAACGTATAACTTAATGGCTCACCTAGTGGTTTAAACACTCACCCCAGAGACTCACGTAATTACTCAGTGACTATCTAGTGCCTAGATAGTTTAAACACTCAATTAATGACTCGGTGACTCATCCAGTGGTTTAAACATTCACCCAGAGACTCGCCTAATTACTTAACTCAATTAGCGGCTCAGTGCTTAGCGAGTCACCTTGTAACTTAGCGAGTCACCTTGTAACTTAACGAGTCACCTTGTAACTTAGCGAGTCACCTTGTAACTTAACGAGTCACCTTGTAACTTAACGAGTCACCTCGTAACTTGACGAGACACCTAGAAACTTAATGAAGCATCTAAGGATGTATTGTACATTTGTGGACGTACTGTATATTTGTGGATGTACTGGGCCGTTTGTGGATGTGTTGTGTTTGTGTGTTTGTTATGGCTGTTCGAGTAAGTTTTCCTGTATACTTGCAGCATGGCTGTATGTTGGCACTGTTGCTGTAATTCACAGGTGTATGTGCATGTATGATACAATTGATATATGTTGTATGCGTTATGATATTTTGTATTTTTTGTGGGTTGTGTATGTAGCGATAGTGGTGTGTATTTTGTAATGTATACGGTGTAAGTACATTTTACTTGGCTTGTGTATGTTTCCCCATGTATTTGTAAATATCAGTCATGAATGTATGACCGTGTTATCCATATTTTTTTCTGTATGTCTGGGAAAGCATCATACAGCCCATATACACAACTTGTCATACACAGTGTATGGGTTGTGTGTGTGTGTGTGTGTGTGTGTGTGTGTGTGTGTGTGTGTGTGTGTGTGTGTGTGTGTGTGTGTGTGTGTGTGTGTGTGTGTGTGTGTGTGACATATGGAAGTAGCGTGTATAAGAGGAGAGGTGTAGGTAACCAGAGACTTGAGTGTAGGTGACCTGAGGTCGGGCCTAGGTGACCTGACGCATTAAGTGCTTAGCTGTGACAGCTGTTCAATATTTCTTTTAGTGTTAAGAGTTTGTGAGACTTATTTTTCAATTCTCACCTCTTTCCCCACTCTTGCTCTCACTTCTCCCCACTCACTCTTTTCCCCACCCTCTCCATTATTTCCATCCCTTCTTCCCATCTTTTTTCACTCCTTCACTGACTCCCTACTCACCGCTCTCTCCCTCCGGCAGATACTAACGACCAACCTCAAGACTTGAGCGTGAAGCGGAGGCGACACGCTGATGAGACGCACCTCTCCCCAACCCCTCCCACCTTCACACCCCCAGCGCCCCGCCCACCCACGCCGCCGCCCACCACCCACTCAGTGAAGCAACCACCAGCAAGCCCACCCCGCGTGCCTTCCCTTGCTGACTTCTACCTGAAGCTCTTCCAGTCGACGGCAGTGCAGCAGCAGCAGCAGAGTGAGTGGTGGCGAGGTAGTGTCATGTGGCCTCTTATGCACTCAGCCGCAAATCCAACTATCACCGCCACTCCCTCCATAGCCGCCCACTCGACCCTGGCCGCCCAGTCAGCACTGGCGGCTCGCCTGGCCCTGCCTCAGCCCTCAGAGGAACGCCTGGCGTCGCCCCGGTCAACGGCTTCCGAAGACTCTGGCGTGGGCGCCGAGTCTCTCAGCGAAGACGAGATCGATGTGACTAGCGACGTCGAAGTCTACCATGGCGGCTCCTTCGAAGTGACCCACGACTCCTTGCCAGGGCGTGGCGAAGCTCGGTACTCGTGCACAGAGTGCAGCAAGTCGTACTCTACGTACTCTGGTCTAAGCAAGCACAAGCAGTTCCACTGTGCCGCGCTGGGAGCCAAGTCGTTCTCGTGCAAGCACTGCGACAAGGTGTATACCAGCCTGGGTGCTCTCAAGATGCATATACGCACCCACACGCTACCCTGCAAGTGTCACCTATGTGGCAAGGCCTTCTCGCGGCCCTGGCTGCTGCAGGGCCACATCAGGACCCACACCGGAGAGAAACCCTTCCAGTGTCCGCAGTGTGACCGCTGCTTCGCTGACCGCAGCAACCTGCGGGCTCACCTCCAGACCCACGCTGACATCAAGAAGTACGCCTGTGTCACCTGTCACAAGACCTTCTCCAGGATGTCTCTGCTTAACAAACACACGGAGGCAGCCTGCCCAGCCAGACCTCACCAGCACCCACCAGCAGCAGCACCCCAGTGAGTGCTTCCCTTCTGGAAGCAACAGCAAGCAATGGAGATGAACCCATAAGGATAGATCGAGACCTGATCCATCCGCACAAGTGCCACACGGAAGCTGCTCCCGACAGCCAGACCTCACCAGGTGGAGAAGAAAGAAGAGAAGCAGCTGGACCCCTCGAGGAGGAGCACCATCAGAGTAAATCTTCTACTGCAGGAAGAGAATGAGGTCGGGTTATCCGACCCCACTTGATCATCTAGTCACAAACAAACAAACAAACACACACACACACGCACACATACACATCAATGTACAGTTTTCTGTAGTTACTCCTATTAGGACGCCTCTACAAAATAAAGAATTTATTATTTTACGATAACCTGTGTTTATTTACGTATCCTTCTTGCGCTCAAGTGAAATATTAACTCACACACCTGACATAACTACATGCTGGTAATATTAACTCACACACCTGACATAACTACATGCTGGTAATATTAACCCACACACCTGACATAACTACATGCTGGTAATATCAACCCACACACCTGACATAACTACATGCTGGTAATATTAACTCACACACCTGACATAACTACATGCTGGTAATATTAACTCACACACCTGACATAACTACATGCTGGTAATTAACTCACACACCTGACATAACTACATGCTGGTAATATTAACTCACACACCTGACATAACTACATGCTGGTAATATTAACCCACACACCTGACATAACTACATGCTGGTAATATTAACCCACACACTGACATAACTACATGCTGGTAATATTAACCCACACACCTGACATAAACTACATGCTGGTAATATTAACCCACACACCTGACATAACTACATGCTGGTAATATTAACCCACACACCTGACATAACTACATGCTGGTAATATTAACCCACACCCTGACATAACTACATGCTGGTAATATTAACTCACACACCTGACATAACTACATGCTGGTAATATTAACTCACACACCTGACATAACTACATGCTGGTAATATTAACTCACACACCTGACATAACTACATGCTGGTAATATTAACCCACACACCTGACATAACTACATGCTGGTAATATCAACCCACACACCTGACATAACTACATGCTGGTAATATTAACCCACACACCTGACATAACTACATGCTGGTAATATTAACTCACACACCTGACATAACTACATGCTGGTAATATTAACTCACACACCTGACATAACTACATGCTGGTAATATTAACCCACACACCTGACATAACTACATGCTGGTAATATTAACTCACACACCTGACATAACTACATGCTGGTAATATTAACCCACACACCTGACATAACTACATGCTGGTAATATTAACTCACACACCTGACATAACTACATGCTGGTAATATCAACCCACACACCTGACATAACTACATGCTGGTAATATTAATTCACACACCTGACATAACTGCATGCTGGTAATATTAACCCACACACCTGACATAACTACATGCTGGTAATATTAACCCACACACCTGACATAACTACATGCTGGTAATATTAATCCACACACCTGACATAACTACATGCTGGTAATATTAACTCACACACCTGACATAACTACATGCTGGTAATATTAACCCACGGAGGCTGCCATAGTGAAGAGCTCTGTTCCACAAGGCACAGTACTCGCCCCCATCTTATTCCTTATCCTCATATCAGACATAAACAGAGATATACACCACAGCACCGTATTATCCTTTGCGGATGATACTAGGATCTGCATGAGGCTGTCATCTGCTGAGGACGCGGTTAACCTCCAAGAAGATATAAACAAAGTTTTCCAGTGGGCCACGGTAAACAATATGATGTTCAATGAGGACAAATTCCAACTACTCCGTTATGGAAAACTGGAGGAGATAATAAACTAGAACAGAGTATACTACTGACTCCGGCCATACAATAGAGCGGAAAAATAATGTAAGGGACCTGGGAGTAGTAATGTCTGAGGATCTCACTTTCAAGGATCACAACAGTGCCACGATCGCACGTGCAAAGAAAATGATAGGATGGATAATGAGAACTTTCAAAACGAGAGATGCCAAGCCCATGATGATCCTTTTCAAATCACTTGTTCTCTCTAGGCTGGAATACTGCTGTACATTAACATCTCCATACAAAGCAGGTGAAATCGCAGATCTAGAGAGTGTACAGAGATCCTTTACTGCACGTATAAGTTCTGTCAAGCACCTTAACTACTGGGAACGCTTGAAAGCACTTGACTTGTACTCGTTGGAACGCAGGAGGGAGAGATATATCATAATCTACACTTGGAAAATCTTGGAAGGAATGGTCCCAAATCTGCACACAGAAATCACTCCCTACGAAAGTAAAAGACTGGGCAGGCGATGCAAAATGCCGCCAATAAAAAGTAGGGGCGCCATTGGTACACTAAGAGAAAACACCATAAGTGTCCGGGGCCCAAAACTGTTCAACAGCCTCCCATCAAGCATTAGGGGAATTGCCAATAAACCCCTGGCTGCCTTCAAGAGAGAGCTGGACAGATACCTAAAGTCAGTGCCGGATCAGCCGGGCTGTGGCTCGTACGTCGGACTGCGTGCGGCCAGCAGTAACAGCCTAGTTGATCAGGCCCTGATCCATCGGGAGGCCTGGTCGTGGACCGGGCCGCGGGGGCGTTGATCCCCGGAATAACCTCCAGGTAACCTCCAGGTAACACACCTGACATAACTACATGCTGGTAATATTAACCCACACACCTGACATAACTACATGTTGGTAATATTAACTCACACACCTGACATAGCTACATGCTGGTAATATTAACTCTCACGCCTGACAGCTACATGCTGGTAATATTAACCCACACACCTGACATAACTACATGCTGGTAATATTAACTCACACACCTGACATATCACAAGAAAGAGAAAAACATCTCTATAATATTAGGAATGCAAAACCCTGTAGAGGTTCGACTCCTGGCGGACAAACATATCAACGTCTGATAACGTCACAGATATCAATGCCTGATAACGTGACATACATCAATGTCTAATAACGTCACAGACATCAATGTCTGATAACGTGACATACATCAACGTCTGATAACGTCACAAGTATAGTCTGATAATGTCACAAGTATAGTCTGATACCGTCACATACATCAATGTCTGATAACGTGACATACATCAACGTCTGATAACGTCACAAGTATAGTCTGATAACGTCATAAGTATAGTCTGATACCGTCACATACATCAACGTCTGATAACGTGACATACATCAACGTCTGATAACGTCACAAGTATAGTCTGATAACGTCACAAGTATAGTCTGATACCGTCACATACATCAACGTCTGATAACGTGACATACATCAACGTCTGATAACGTCACAAGTATAGTCTGATAACGTCATAAGTATAGTCTGATACCGTCACATACATCAACGTCTGATAACGTCACATACATCAACTGTTTATGTTATTAAGACAGTCTGTGGTTTATGGCATTTAAATGAGAAGACATTTCGCTCACCAGGGAAACATGTCAATCGTTGACATGCTACCGTTGACATGCTACCATTGACATGCTACCATGGATATGCTACCGTTGACATGCTACATTTGACATGCAACCGTTGACATGCTACCGTTGACATGCTACCATGGATATGCTACCGTTGACATGCTACCTTTGACATGCAACCGTTGACATGCTACCGTTGACATGCTACTGTTGGCATACAACCGTTGACATGCTACCGTTGACATGCTACCGTTGACATGCTACCGTTGACAAACAATATTCGTTTAATGACCGAAACATCGTATACCTCTTACAAACATTACTACCGACAAACACACACATACACACAGGCAGGATGAATACATAGTTTGAAGAAGAGGTATGATAAAGCACATGGAGCAGGAAGTGACCGAGTAGCGACCAGGGAAGAGGTGGGGCCAGGAGCTGTGACTCGACCCCTGCAACCAACCACAACTAGA